CAGAGCAACTCCACCCCTAAAGACTTTGCGCTAGCACCCAGCCCATTTATCCACTTCAGTGAACAGTAATAGACCCTAATGAACAGTAATAGGCCAAAGCATCTCCACCCCAAAAAAAATGTGCTGGCATCCAGTCTAAAAATGCGCTGGCACAAACGATATCCACCCCTACAAAATGCGCTGGCACCCAGTCCATTTAAAATATTAAATAATTTTTTTATAAAATAATAAATTAAAAAAATAATTTTAATTTCGGATAGGATTTTTAATCAATCTCATCACGCCACGTGTCATTATCCGAACGTACTATTTTGTGAATAGATTTCCGCTAAGATTTTCAACCAATCCCGACAACCCACGTGTCACTTCCTGTTTACAATAATTTAGGCAAGATTTTGATAAGATTTTCAACCAATCTTGTCACGCCAAGTGTCATTATCCGAACGTACTATTTTGTAGATAGATTTCTGATAAGATTTTCAACCAATCCCGACACGCCACGTGTCACTTCCTGTTTATAATAATTTAGCCAAGATTTCGATAAGATTTTCAACCAATCACGTAGTGCCACGTGGCATTGTCTAGAACCTCATCTTCTCTTTTTTTGTTCATATAAACCCTACATCCCTACATCCATCTTCACACTAAACTCAATCCTTTTTTTTAGCTCAGAATTCTTCTTTATCGTTTTCAAATCTTGAGTTCTTACAATGTCTTCTTCAAGGAGAGTGTATAAACAGTTGCAAGAGCAGCAGAAAAGGTTGTTGGCACAAAGGAAGAATTGGTCAATCTTGACCAATGTGGAGGTGGAGATGAGGCCTTCGCAATGGAGGAGGATGAGGATGATCACCATAGAAGGCGGAGGGCCTCACATTCCCGCCGTATCATGGAAGCTGTGGGTCAGATAGCCAAACCCAGACGTGCGGGAAACATCGATAGAAGAAGGGAAAGACGAGGTAAAGATCTCTTGGAAGATTATTTTATTCCCAACAGCGTTTTCCCTGATCATGTTTTTAGACGTCGTTTTAGAATGCAATGAAGTTTGTTCGATAAAATCATGAGTGCTGTTTGCAACCATGATCCATATTTTGTGCAAAAAGATGATGTTTTTCATGTTCTAGGTCTTCTTCCTGAGCAAAAAATTACGGCTGCCTTGCGAATGCTTGCATATGGAGCATTTGCAAATTAAGTGGATGAGATAGCAAGGATGGGAAAAACAACAGTTCTGGAGTCCTGATGCGGTTTTGCTCTGCAATTGAAGCCCTCTACACCAATGAGTACCTTCGGAAACCCACGCCAAGGGACATGCGAAGGCTTCTAAGGAAGGGTGAGATGCGAAGCTTCCCTGGTATGATTGGAAGCATCGACTGTATGCACTGGACATGGAAAAACTGTCCAAGTGCGTGGCAAGGAGCTTATGGCGACAGAAAATGAGCCAAAAGCATCATTTTGGAAGCGGTGGCTTCTTTTGATACATGGATTTGGCATGCTTTTTTTGGTGTTCCAGGAGCTCAGAATGCCCTAATTGTCCTTGCCCAATCTCCAGTGTTTAACGAACTGCTACAAGGAAATGGCCCGAGATGCACATATTGGGTTAATGGTAATAAATACGAGGGACCATACTACCTTGCAGATGGTATTTACCCAAGGTGGTCAACATTTGTCAAAACAGTGCCACATCTGCAGAGTGAAAAAGAGAAACACTTCGCAAAGTGTCAAGAAGGGTGTAGGAATGATGTCGAGCGTTGTTTTGGTATCCTGCAAACTCGTTGGGCGATTGTCAGGGCTGCAGCTAGAATGTTTGATGTCGAGGCTCTTCGATCCATCATGATGACGTGTATTATTCTCCACAACATGATTGTTGAAGCCGAGTATGATTATGATGACGTCGATGAATACGAGCCGGATCCGATGAACAACTCAAGAACACAAATCTACTATGCTCATGACCGGACCGAAGATCCCGTGCAACACGAGCCGTTGGAACGGAATGGACGTTACAATGAATTGATCGTTCAGCGGTACACTTCATTGCAAGAGCCTTACTGGCACATAACCCGCCAGAATGACTTGATTGACCACTAGTGGGGATTGCACAAAGGCGAAGATAATTAAAATAAGGCTTGTGGTTGAAGAATAAAATGTATTGTTTTTTAAGTAATCTTATTTAGTGTGTTTTTTTTTTTTTTTAAGTTTATATGGTGAGGTTATGTAATTTTATTTGGTGTTTTTTTTTTAAATGTTTATTTGGTGAGTTTATGTAATCTTATTCAAATATTTAAATAAAGTACAAAAATTACATAAGAAATTAAATAAAGTTCTAAAAATAAATAAGAAATTAAATAAAGTTCTAAAAATGTTAGGAAATTACATAACAAATTAAATAAAGTAGTACAAATAAATACGAAATTATACAAAGTCTGTGGAGTTAGGATATGTGGTGCTAGGATCTTGGTTGCTAGGATTTCTGTAGCTGGAACCCCCTTGACTTGTTTCGGCATCTCTTGCACGCCTCCTTCGCACGACATCTCTTTTTTCTGATGTCCAAAAATATTTTGAATTCGGAGACAGTCCTACTAGAGACTTGTTCATAGTGTCACGATCTGCTTGAGCCATCCTTTCTTCTCTAAGCATCTCATTCTCTCGATGAAGTGCTTCTCTAATCATCTCGTGCTCTTGATTAACTATTTCTCTTTGTCTCTCAGCCGCCGCATCATGAGCCTCAGTAGCTGCTATTATTGCTGCCATAGCAGTAGCTTTTTCCTCATCTCTAGCCTTTTCCCATGCCATGTTCAGTTCACCTTGGCAAGCAAGTTCCTCCATATATTTAGTGTAGTCATTTTTGGAAGAACTACCTTTTTTCTTTGATGCCTTTTTACCTTGAGGCCTGAGGAACTGACGAGTCAGTTGGGTCTCCGGCACTTCTTCAGGCGTCCCTTCTGTGTCTTCAAATGTGCTGGCTTCTTGTTCGGCTGTGTCTGCTTCTGGCGAACTGTGTAGACCCATACCGTGCATGACAACTTCTGGACAGGTTGCCACAATTTTGTATCTAGGGCAATCTTTGACAATTTGCCAATATTCCCATTTCTTGAATGATTTGTTACGGTTCTTTGCATTGTAGAATGCTTGTGCTTGTAGTGTCTATAAAAATGTGGGATAAGATAGTATTAAAAAATATGGGTGTAACACAAATATATAAATTAAAATATTGATGGGCGTGGAATGCATATAAATTACATAAGAAATTACATAAGAAATTAAATAAATTAAAATATTGATGTGGGTGGAATGCATATAAATAAATAAAAATATTGTTACCTGATCCGCTAAACTTGTCCCACTACGCAAATTACCAGAAGCATGAGAGATGGCGTTTTTCCAACAAGTAAAGGATGCGTTGAGTTTTTTCCAACGACCTTGAAGACCTTGACTAGATCTGGCATCTTTTCCATGTACATCGCAAAACGATTTCGTAATTTTACTCCACATTTCTCGCTTATCCATCTCATTACCCGTAATCGGGTCATGAGTAGTGTAAACCCAACATTCACACAACGTAACATCTTCAATGAGCTTCCACGAAGTCATTTTTTTCTCTCAAAGTGTACAAAATATTCAAATGTAGAAAGTGTAGAAAATATTGAAATGTGGTGTAAGGTGGAAGATGAGGGTTAGGTATTTATAAAAAAAAAATAATAATAATTTTTTAAAATTTTTCTGTATTTTTTAAAAAAAATTCACAATTTTTAATTAATTTTTAATAAATTTTAATGTTGTAATTAATCTGGACCGTTGGATTTGAAAAATAATCAAATCCAACAGCCAACCAGTTGCCACGTGGCCAACGGCCAAAATTCTGTCCGTTGGGCGGGCCTTTTTTTTTTTTTTAATTTTATTTTTGGTGAAAAAAACGTGGACCGTTGATCTGTGATCGGACGGTCCATTTTAAAAGTCAAATTTAAATTTTTTTTACCGTTGGAAATCTAACGACTCTGAGGAGGGCCACGTAGCCTTCAGTTGTTGGAACGCAAGTGGGCCTGAGACGCGGGCCCCGCCGCCTGCAACCTTGTCTCCTACTTGCGCCCAGTCGCGAGTGTTGTGCACGCGCTAGCCCAATAGGCCGACTTCTGGGTCTGTCCGAAATGGGCTGGGCTGTTGCCTAGCTTGGGCTGGGTGCTAGGCTGTTTTGCGGGCTAGAGGTTTTGGACAGGGTGCCAGGCTGTGTTTTGGACTGGGTGCTGGGCAAGTCCACCTCCGGTGGAACTGCTCTCAGAGCAAGTTAGTTTACTTGTCAAAGCTCAATAGCTAGCTACACATGTTTCACGTCATCCAATTTAGAGTTTGTTTTGCTCACTTGCACATTTTTTTTTTTAATTTTATTTATTTTTTTCACTTATTGATATTTAACTAAAAAAGCGTGTGAACGGTTGAGATTTAACTTGTGAACAAAAAAAATTGCAGGGAAGAAATTATTAGGGTAAAATAATTCGTATAATAAAAAGAAATATTTTAACAATTAAAATTTAAACCATATATATAATAAATTGATACCATATGGATTACAACAAGCCTACTAAAGAAAAGAGATGATTATAAACATGACTTGATCATATCCCCCACTAAATTATCATTAGGGTTGTACGTATTTCAAAACAAACCTACATACATAGAGAATTTTATTGTATTAATATTATACAACGATATTAGAATAGCACACTCTCTGGTTTTTATTTCATTAACCACACAGTTCAGACGATTAAACGAGACGCCTTCTTCTTTGTGTGCACACGTACATATATATAACCCCTCTTAATTTTTGTGCATAGGAATTTTGTTTAGTATCATCTCAAACGCATTTTTCAAGCATGACTTGAACTTTTGAGGATCAATAAATCCCTTCTGAGTTCCAAAGGAAATCCTCAAGTCTCCCATATAACTGATTATTGTTATGATAAGGTCGTGCAAAACCATCCTAATCTCAAAACGTTTAATAAGATGTGTTAACTTACAAGTAGAGACGGAAAAGTTAGAGGAAGAGAAGGATCGTCAGCTCTTTGCAGACAAGAAAGAAGAGCACTCATGAAGGAGTAGCCATCGCCAAGTGCATGGTGAAGCTTGAATATTAGGTTACCAGCGTCAGTGGAAGTTGGATATTTGACCATGTGAACTTCCCACAGTGGTTTGTCTTCTGGGTATTTTTCCAGTACAACTTCTGATATGTAGTCACCGAGATAAAGGTCGTAAGACTCAGGTGACAATACTTCAGAGGGAAAAATAGGGATGTGAACATGATCTGTGGGCTTCACCTCAACCTTCTTCCATTGTTTCTCTCCGTCGACGTCAACCTGCGGAGGATTTTTCAAATTTAATATTAAATTAGTTTCCTAATTATAATCATTACATGATAGGAAAAAGTGTTTTCTAACATTCAAAACCAATTATAACTATTTTTGGCGAAAAGAACTTCAAAGCACTTAAATTTTTAATAAAAGTTCGACCGTACATTTCTAATAAAAGCATTTATACATGGAGGCATATTCTCTGCCCTCCCATTTTCCGTACCCTCTTGTTTTGTGGGATCGCGGTTAAGTTACGTTAATATTTTATATTGTTTTTTATAAAGATAATAAGACAAAAATAAATAGTAATATAAAATGTTGACATGACTTAACCGTGACCACACAAACAGGAGGGCACGGAAAGTGGGAGGACAGAGAATCTGCCTCCTTTATACATATGTTAGAAGTGTCTTTTAGATAAGCAATCCAAACAGACTTTTAATTCAATTTGATTAATTATTTGGTGTAAAGACTCTATGTCTTTATTTTGTGTTTCTACTCATACGTCCCGAGTTCGAAAAACTTCCCTTCTCCCTCCCTTAATAAGAATAAATTCAAAAAAAAAAAAAGATAATCGAGATGTTTATGACTAAATTTCAACGTCTTCAATAAAAGCATATGAACAAAACTGAGTGAGAGAGAGTACCATGATGGAGCAGAAGCGTGGGTTGATGTGGAGGAAGACATCCTGAAGGAATGACATGATCTTTGATTCATCGATTGGAACCTCAGATTCCAAAACACCAAGAACTGACATGGATAACACCGAGGTGTTGAGGCATTGCCCGGTAGGACTCACCGGCTCATTGTAATAATCTCCATCATCAACCTTAATAAACTCCATCTTTTTTCTCTCTGTCTACGTTGACAACAACTTGTAGTGGTTTAGTTCATTTGGAGTTGCTGCGTGCATCTCAAGTAAAATGGTCATTTGATTCAATTAAGTTACGAAAAACGATAAAATATCAAGCAAAGGGACCCATTTTGTTAGTCTAGTCGCTTTATAACCCTCTAAGAAATTAAGAACGCAAGGTATGTAGTTGGTGGTCAATGTTTAAGATGGTTTTTTGTTTTTTTTGGTCGAAATGTTTAAAATGTTTTAATTACTAAAAATTTGCTATGCATTTTTATGTTCTCACACGTCGAGTACTCTATTGCCCAGCTAATGAGAAAGACTTATATGAAACAGATACATCGTTACATGATGTTTCGTGCATTATAAGACCATGTGATGGTTTTTTTTCTTTTTTCGAGTAATGTTAGGAAGACTAAATTTGTAGACAAAATTTGCAAACTAAATTATGTGTCACCAATAAGAATGAACACGTTTATCAACACTCAAGTAATAATTCAATTATCAACTTCCATGTCATTTAATTTACTATATTTTGTCTACAAATTTAGTCTCTCTTGTATTACCTTTTTTCACAATATTATACTGACCACGCAAGGAGAAAGACTTGTATGGCACGGGTACACCTGGCATCCTGTACCAATAATACAAGAATGTGTGTTTGTTTTTTCCACATACGTTTATGTTATTAGCACGAGACGCCACCATACAATGAACCAGTGTCATATACAAGTCTTCTCTTAGGCAAGGCGGCCCACTAATTAATTAACACATGGGACAACCTGTTTGGAATCCCCATGAATAGGATCAAACCTTATTCCATGGTATTTACATTAAGATTTTTCTTTCTTGGATAAATTACAAAAACTACCTCAACTATAGGTCGAACAACATTCTCATATCTCATGTTTGAAAAATGACAATGTCCCTCATCTTACGAATTCATTTCAATGTCATACCTCCTTCAATTTCTCTGTTAAGTTTGACCGTTAAATTATGAGCTGACAGGCCTAGGACCCGCATCCTTACCCAACTAAATTAAATAATTAATTAAATACTAATAAATATATTTCAACAAAAAAAAATATAGAAAATCATTTTAAAATTTTATTAACAAATTGTGGGACCCACCCACATCCCCTACCTTTTCCCTACCCCTCCCTTTTTTTCCTCAGTAATTCTCCCCGCAGCCACCAACAACAAAACCCACCATCATTGTCTCTTCTTGGTCCTCGAGAAAACTCTCTTCCTCTCCTGGTCCGTGGAACTCCCAATTCACCCACTACCATTCCCGTCGTCGCCACTCTTTCTTCCCTTTTTGAAAACCCGCCGACGGCACAAGATGGGCCCAACAGTTCTACCCGAATGCCTATTAACCTCTGGCCGAGAATGTACCAGTCGACGGTGACAAATGCGATGTGGGAAGCGAGGTCGTAGCTGCATCTGGTTGCCACGGTCACCATCAAATCTTCCCATTGACTCGAGTTCTGCTGGACCCTCCTTAGTTGCACCATCTCTTCTTGGGTCCACAGCAGTGGCTGGAGCTTCTTAGCGAAGGTTGTGGGCAACAGTAGTGGTGGTGTAGACATTGTTGTGGGGGTGATTGGGACTAACAATTTGAAATTTAGGGTTAAGGTTTAGGGGGGAATGGGGTTTCTGTTTGAAATTGGCATGGAGATTTGAAATTTAGGGTTAGGGTTTGGGGGGAATTGGAATTTTCTATTTGAAATTGGGGAATTAGGGTTAGGTTTTGTTGTCGGGGGCTGCGAGGGAGAATTGCAGAGGAAAAAAAGGGAGGGGGAGGGAAAAGGTAGGGGATGAAGATGGGTCCCACAATTTCTTAATAATTTTTTAAATGATTTTCTATATATATATTTTTTTTGTTGTAATATATTTATTAGTATTTAATTAATTTTTTAATTTAGTTGGGTAAGGATGTGGGTCCCACGCCTGCCAGCTCACAATTTAACAGTCAAACTTAACAAAAAAAAACTAACGGAGGTATGACATTGAAACGAATTCGTAAGATGAGGTATGACGTTGTCATTTTTTCAAACATGAGGTATTAGATTGTCGTTCGACCCATAGTTGAGGTAGTTTTTTATAATTTAACCTTCTTTCTTATTCTTAAACAAGTCCCCGAGAGGGCTTAGTTGGTTACCTTTTTGTTTGTTTCAAGAAATATTGCTCCATGATTCAAGCTCAAATATAGTTCCGATAGTAAAACTTACGATCATTAATGTTTTTGAGCAAGCAAAATTTTCAAGAAAAAGAATTGGCTCCTTAAGGATTGAGGAAGCACTACTCCTCCTGAAGACACCTTGTAGCTAATTCATGAAACTTTATGCTGATAATCGAAACCGTTTATATTATAAGTCATTATTTAAAGGTTATCCTTGCAAAAAATTAAAAAATATGTGATCATTTGGTAATCGAACTGTATAAAAACAAATGGTCTGCATCAGTAAAAGTATTATGAACTTTCTATCTATTTACTATTATGAATGACTAAATGACAATGGTTTTAATTGATTTTTTACAGAACTAATCTTTACATAATGACTTATAATATGAATGATTTTGATAATAAACATGCACAAAGTTTTGCAAATTAGTCACAAACCGTGGCGGAGCCAAAATTTTACTTGAGAATATGCCTCACATAAATGTTTAAAAAATAAAATAAATAGTTATAAGAGAGTAGAAGTTGTGAGCTAAATAAATATTTTAGCGCTACATGTTTGTTTTCATGCTGAATTAACCTTCCAATATCAAGTCGATATTGAGAGTAATTAATCAAAAATTAAAGAGGATTAAGAGAAATTAAACTCCAATATCAACTCAATAAAAAATGGTAGGGAGACCATGTTTATAAACTATATTTGGAGATTACATGATGCAGCAGTTGATGATTGGATTTCTTCTTTAAAGCATTAAAGAATGACTTGTATGGAATGGATACATCGTTACATGGGATCTCGTGCAATATATGTGTTAGTTTTTTTTTTCACACTATACTGACCAAGCAAGGAGAAGGACTTATACGTCACAAGTACTCTTCCACGTGGCGTCCTGTACCAATAGCACAAGGACTTGTATTAGTTTTTTTTCACATGTTTTTATGTTATTAGCACGGAACGCCATGATAACAACAAACCAATGCCATATACAAATCAATCAATGCCATATATATATATTAGGCGACGAGACCCACTTACTAATTAATATATGGGACAACCTGTTTGCTCCATGATTCAAACTCAAATGTAGTTCATGTAGTAAAACCTTACGATCATTAATGTTTTTAGGCAAGCAAAATTATCAAGAAAATGACTTGGCTGCTTAAGGATTGAGGAAGGACTCCTCCACAAGACACCTTGTAGCCAATTTATAAATCTTTATGCTTATAATCAAAATCATTTATAGTATATATCACTGTGTAAAGATCATCTTTCTAAAAAATTGAAAAAATATGAGATTATATGGTCATCGAACTACATAAAAACAAATGGTCAGTATCATTAAAAGTATCACGAACCGTCTATCTATGTACTATTGTTGAATGACTAAACGATACAATTTTAATTAATTTTTTGCATAATTGAGCTTTACATAGTGACTTATAATATGAACAATTCCGATAAAGAACACAAAGTTCCGCAAATCAATCAAAACATTGGCGGAGTCATAATTTTACATGAGGATAGGCCTCACATAAATTTAAAAATAAAAATAAAAAATAAATAGATAGTATTTACAAGAGTAGAAGTTGTGAGCTAAATAAATTTTTGAGGCACTAAATGTTTTTTTTCAAGTTGATATTAACCTCTCAATAACAAGTCAATATAGAGAGTAATTAATCAAAAATTAAAGAGGATTAATTAAAATTAACCTTCCAATATCAAGTCAATGAAAAATGTTAGGAAGACCATATTTTAGAGATTACATAATGTGAAGGTTGATGATTGGGTTCCTTCTTGAATGATTTAAAGGACTTGTATGGAATGGATACATTGTTACGTGGGGTCCCATGCAATATAAGGACATGTGCTAGTTTTTTTTTTCGTACTATTTCATGCGGCGTTCTGTGTCAATAATACAAGAACATGTGTTAATTTTTTTCACATATTTTTGTGTTATTGGCATGGGAGGCTGTCGGAACAATGAACCAGTGCCATATACTAGTCTCCTTCTAGGCGAGGAGACCCACTAACTTATTAATATATGGGACAACTGCTTGCTCCATGATTCAAACTCAAATATAGTTCAGGCCTTACGATCATCAATGTTCTTAGGCAAGCAAATTATCAAGAAAAATACTTGGCTCCTTAAAGATTGATCGAAGAACTTCTCCCCAAGACACCTCGTAGTCAATTCATAGAACTTCATGTTTATGATCGAAATCGTTTATATTATGAATCATACGTAAAGATTACCTCTCCAAAAAATTGAAAAAATATGAGATCATTTGGCCATCAAACTATATAAAGACAAATGGTTGGTATCAGTAAAAGAATTATAAACCGTCTATCTATTTACTATTGTTGAATTACTAAACGACATATTTTTAATTGATTTTTTGCAAAACTAATCTTTATAGAGTGACTTATAATATGAACGATTCAGATAATAAACATGAAGTTCCGCAAATCGGTCACAATCACAAAGTATCTTGAAGATTGACTCCTAAAGAGCCAAGCTTTTTAATTATCAGTCTAGTAATATTACTTCTATACCAGTACGAGAATGAGGTGTTGAAAGCAACAGAGCTAGGATTTAAAAATGAACAGGGGTACATGGGCTAGATTATATATCTTACTATAGTATACCATGCAATTAGAAAACTCGATGATGACTTTCATGTTCTTGGTTGGTCACAGGCAATAGCTTTCTTAATTAGGTGTTGAGTTCAAAAAGAGTTAAACACCACCTCTCATCTAAGTTCACCTCGCTATTTAAATTTACTTTGTTTACATTTTCAAGTGTATGAAAAGACAACTTGTATCTACACATGCACCACA